AAAACAAAAAAATCGAAGAAAAGAAAAAAAAAAAAAAAAAAAAAAAAAAAAAAAAAAAAAAAACAAAAAAAAAAAAAAGAACAAAAGGAGAAAAGAAAGAAAAAAAATTCCCGCTGTTTTTCAGGTTAATGATGATGGGGACTATTCGCTGCGCACTCGCTGGGGGCATGGGAGAGGACACGCGGCGGTACATCCTTCTGGCCGTGAGTGCGGTGTGGGGCTGCAACTCATGGTGGATAGGTAGCCTCGCCGACAAGGCGAACGAGTCGAGTGCGGCTGACCCGACCAAGAGCGGCGCTGCCGGTGGTGAGATGTCGCTCGAGCTCCGGCGCAAGTCCCGGACTGGGACGGACAACCTTTCTTCGAGTAGACGCGATCATCGCGGACAGCCGCGCGCGCGGATTCGTACGACCCTGGTCCGGGCAGGTCGTTTTCAACCTCGGTGAAGCGGTGTGCGCAAGAGCCAAAGCCCTTGCGCGCCCCCGTGTTTGGGCATAGCGTCGTCTCAAACTTGCTCGGAATCGATGCGGCAGCCGTCGGCGCACCAGTCCGCTGCCCCGTGAGCGGCCCGGAGCGCAGCTTCCCCCTCTTCTCCCTGCCGACCTGCCGAAACGAAGGCCGATCGGGTCTCATTGCAGCGCGACTCGTGCCTGGCGAGGCCGGCCGCCGGGCGTAACAGCTCGTCGCTCCGTTTTCTTATTCAGCTTTTATAGAGTTCCGAGAGAGTTTTCAGTGTGTGCACTTACGATCGATTAAGCTAAAGACACTCACAAGAGCAAAGACACACAGCCTGCCACACAAACAAACCCGAGTGAGCGCACGGCACTACGCTCTACCCACGAGATATTGTGCTCCTGTAGTAGATATTGGGTGCTCATTGTAGGTAGGTTATTGTATTGGGGTCCAATACGCCCAGAGGTGGACTGCTGACAGCAGCTCAGCAGGAGCCTGACAGGCTTTGCGATGAGAGCGTGGCATTCTGTGGCATTCGGGTGATCATCAGAACACTAACCGCCTTCTCCCTAAAAAAGAATGCTGGAATTCTTTTGCAGCCCCGCTCGTGCGGGCGCACGACGCGCTCGCTGTGCTGTAGTACCGACCCGCGGACACCGATGGGCAAGAATAAAGGTGGCGGCGGCGGCAAAAAGGGCGGCGGTAGCAAAAGCAGCGGCGGAGGTGGCGGCAAGAACGGCAGTGGCGGCAAGAACGGTGGCGGCGGCGGCAGCAAGAGGGGTGGCAAAGGTGGCCGGGCGGAGCGAGCGGCGAGTGCGTTGCCGGATCAGAAGAGAATGGCCAACTTTGCGCGGAGCCTGCGGCTTTCGGGGCTCAAGCTGTTCGAGGTCGAGCGCGACGGCAACTGCTTCTTCCGAGCGATTGCCACCGGGCTCGGCGAACACCAGGGGTGCCACGCGAGCTACCGGGAGAGGGTGGGTGCGCACATGGAGGCGCATCCGGACGACTACACGCCGTTCCTCACCTTTCGGGAGGGCGACGAGGAGGACGACGCCGACTTCGAGCAGTACCTCTCTCGCATGCGGCGGGACGGCGAGTGGGCGGGTCAGCCGGAGCTTCTTGCGGCGGTGCAGGCGCTGCGCGTGCA